TTTCTTCGGGGGGTGTGGGGGGGGGGAGACGAGGAGGAGGAAATTGTCAAATGAAGTGACAACGGCAGCCAGCCCCACTGCTCCCTGGAAGCCATCCCTCGCACGGCAGCGTCCCCCAGCTCTGGTCCTTACGGCTGCAACAGAACAATCCCACCTGTTTGCTCAAAGCCCGAGGGCAACACAACACTCCTGGCCCCTCGGGTGTGAGGGTTGTTTAAAGCCGTTAGGCAACCGACAGGCTACCTAAGGAATGTCGTAGCTTTTTTAAACCTTAAAAAGGAACGAAAATGTAGGATCTGAGCAAAAAGAAGGAAGGGAAGGAGAGGAGAGAAGAGGGGAAAGAGAGATGGATAGAGAGAGACAGATCTCGAGCACGCAGCAGCTCTTTGCCTAGTCCGAGGGCTGTATTTACGGGTCACTTTCTGACCCTCACAGACACACCCGGCCCTTTCTCCACGCCCTCTTGCCCCCGAGTCGCACCCCCTTACTTCTGCACAGTCTAACTCGGAGGGAGACTTTCTCCAGCCGCAACTTGTTAGCAAGACCACTGGGGTCGGGGTGGGGATAAACCAGTCCCCCCGGTAGGCCTGTGGACTACTCAGACAGCCGCGCAATCTGTTGGCTGTGTGACCCCGTGTGCTCACCCGCGGCATCCTTCCCCCCCTCCCTCACCCGTCTTTCTAGTCCTGTTCTCGTTCATCAACACTCCGGAGCGTTGCTCCCAGAAAACGCCGATCATTAGGAAAAGGGGAGGGGACGGGAGGGGGCGGGGAATCTTCGGCCGGCGGGGCCGAGCTGGAAGGCTCTGGGAGGTGACTAAGATTTAGGACTGGGGTGATTTCCAGCGAGCCGCAGGAAGTTCCGTGTTGAGAAGTGATGGGCTGCTACAAAAGGGAAAGACGAAGCCTTGAAAGGATGTAATTAACCGTGTCAGGGATAATTACCCCTGGACAGTCCAAATTAGTTTTGCATAATCGCTCAGAACCATATGAATTAACTTATAATATTGCAAAGAGCTCGGGGAATAACAGGAGAGGGATCGTTTTAATTAGTGAATCAGGGTCAAACCAGCAGAGCCTATTTTTCACATTTCCAAAACTTTTCATGGTTCTTAAAATATTATTCCGTTGGGGAAAAACAATGACTTTAAAGAGTTGGATCGCTTATAAAGACGTGGAGCTCCAGAGACGGTCTCTGTCGGTAGAGAAACTAGTTTAGGACTAGTTGAGTCTTGTGTCTTGAGAATTTCTGTCTTGGTGGGGCGAAAATAAAGATGTCCCTACAGTTAATTTTTTTTTCTCTGATATTCTTCCTGGCGCCCTATAATTTCTTTTCTAATATTTAAAATCCTTTACGATTTCAAACCTTTCTCCAGTGGAAACTTGTCCAGCCTTGGAAATGCAACCCTCTCCATTAGAATTTGTTATATTTCTATTTTAATGCCACTAGCATGACAGAATAAAGCCTTAAAGAGGCCCAAAGTTGTAAAATGTCGTTAGCAGTGATTATCCTTACAACTAAAATCTTAAGGTGTAAATAAGGAATATGTCAAAGATACACGAACAAATTACACTGATTTAAGCGGTGGAGCTCTCCAACTAACAGGATAAAGTGGTCAGGCAACTTTCTCCTCTTAAAATGTTACTGGAAACTAGTGAAATGCTTTAAACGGTCTGGATGTTTTCAATGGGCTCTGTTCTACTGGTTCATGAATGCCTTCCCTGCCCCCCGCCCCCCCACACAAGATAATACAACTACTTGGTTTTGTTTTTTTTTTTTATCTTCTTTCCTATTCACGATTAAAAATGTGATAAATCAGGTTTTTGGCTCTGAATAACAATGGCTTGATTTAGATTTCCTAGTAAATCTATTCAAAAGTGAAACAAAGGCTGCCTTTGGAGGATACCTTACACTTCACCTGGACCAGGCACGTAAGGGCAATTCAGATAAAAATCTTGTTAGGAACTCAACAAGAAATAAAGGATTTTCTCTTTTCCCTGGTTCAGGCTTTATTTAAACTCTTTGTTCAAAAAAAATGAACAGAGTGATAGTCGGATTCTAATTTACAGATATAGCTTAGACGTCTAATATTAAATTAGCAGATCACACAAGAAAACCATTTACACATAAAGGTTAAAACCAATACTTAAACTTTTTAAAACTTTATATTACATAAAGCCAAAATGAAACTAAATACATGTTAGCCAACTTCATTCACAAACATTAGTCAAAATATATACATTTAAAAAGAAAAAAAGCTACAAATGAGGTTCTTTTCTCTAAAATGTGTTTTATCATAATTTGCAAATGAATTGCAGGTGATCTAAAAAATAAACTAGTTAGGGAGGGAACTCCAAAACACATTTAAACGGTTTGAGTTGGAGAAATGCTAGCTGAAACAGAGAGGCATCTGTCAAAACAATTCTGGTTTTTGTTTTGTTTTGCTAAATAATAAATATATAATTACCACTCAGACAAAAAAAGTCTGATTTAATCTTAGATAAAATTGCGGTTCTGAAATAGTCCCGCAATTTTTAAAAGTTAACTTTGACATTTGTTCAAAATGTTTTAGAGTCTAAAACCGACTCAGATTTAGGGCAACGCAAATAACACATTTTCAGACTTAATGTTTTCAAGGACATATACACATTTACAATCTTAAAGTGAAACTCAAGTCATAAGGGGAAAATAGGAATAATGCCTTTTCTCTTTCTGTGTAAACTGTGTCAAAAACCCAAGCGAGTGGACTCAGGGAGGCTTCTAGCGGTTTTTTGTTTGTTTGTCTGTTTGTTTGTTTGTTTTTTAAGGGAGAAAATCCAATTGACAACTTTTCATCTCACACATATTTCTTGTTTGCCGTCCTTGCTCTTGAGAGAGAGCTCTTGCTCTGATTTGCATATGCTATGATAAACAAAAGAAACCGTGATCACCTCACACACAAAAGGCCAGATTCGAGCCGGTCACTGGTCAAGAATGGATCCGGCCTGGGGGTTCTGCTTGAGAGAACAGAGATTTGCAAAGTTCAAATGGTACAAATAGGGAGCAAGGCTGTTCAGAGCCATCCCGCTCCGAGAAACTAATGACACAGATCAGCTTTTCCCTTGTGCCAACCATTTCAGACCCAACATTTGAACAGAGTGCATGCAACAGCGACCAGGAGAAAAGAAAAATAACAATAAAAGAAAGATAATGGGAAACAAAACCAAAACCGACAATAAACTTCCAACAAAGAAAGCTGGAAAGCCCAACATATCAAAAAGTTACTCCTCCACCTCTGTGGGCCATAACGCAACAGGTTCCGAAGTGCAAAGCAAACATCAACTGCTGCGAGATACAACTGCCCTCTTTAAAGTTGTCTGCCGGGGTGCAGGTCTGAAATGACCCTGTGAATTCACACGCACACTCGCCCGCGCACTCGCGCGCTCGGCCACTCGCGGCCCCGACTGGCCTTTCTGCCTCCGCCTGGCACCTATACATCTTATGTACATACAAACCGGGGCCCCCGTCGCGGGAGGGCGCTCGGGGAGGCCGCAGAGCTCGTACCTATACATATGTACACGTGTGCACACCGGTCCTCGCGAGGCGGCCCCGCGGGGTCATAGCGCGGCGGCGTAGGCCGCGGGGTAGGGGTCCAGTTGAGGCTTGCCCATGCCGGGCAGTAGGATGTAGGCGAGGGGCGGCTGCAACCCGGGGCTGGGCCACGCGCTGCAGTTGCACGGGATCATATAGCCCGGGTTGCCCGGGCTGGGGTGCGAGTGCGTGTGCCCCCCGGCGGCCGC